AGATAGATAGATAGATAGATAGATAGATAGATAGATAGATAGATAGAGATGCAGTCATGCAGTGCACCTGCGCTCTTCAGCCCATTTACTAGAGGTTTACTTCCACTTGGATGGAGAACAGTACTGTAGTACTGTAGTACTGTAGTACTGTAGTACTGTAGTAGTAAAATACACAGATATGTGCTGCTGTGCCTCAATCCCCTCCCCTCACGACTCCCTGCTCTCCCTTTCCTCCGCATCGAGCCCTGAATCCACTGCGCGCCCGAACAATTACTCGCTGCAGGCCTGTGGCTGAAGAAAGGAGGAAAAACAAGAGCCCAGCCGCACGAGCCTCGTTGAGCAAACGAGAATGACGCTCCCGACAACAACAATGATCCGGATCGAAACGCACAGCGTCATTGACATTGACGACGTATCATGCAGCAAGCTTTGATTTACCGATTGTAGCATCCTGGCGCGCCGTCATCATCAAAGGCTACTCACTGATTCGAAGCCCGCCGCTCGGTAAGATGGCAGCCCCGGTGCACGGTGCTGTCACGGACACGACGGCCGCTCCTGCCTTCGGCCGGGCTCTTAAATCGCTGCTGGCTCGGTGGCTCGGTGGCTTCGACCGCTGTCAGAGTCGGATGCTGATGATGGAGTCGGTCGGTTGATACGCGCATCAGCTGAGAGACACACACCCACCTCTAGCCCCGCCCCTTTCGGCTGCATGACGCCAACGCCCCCTTTTGGCATGCATCCAACCCCCCCCCCCCAAAAAAAGCAGACCCAAAACGTGTATAAAGCAAATAAACCAATGAAGTCAAGTTGCCTTTGACGTCATTTGTTAAGACAGACTGTTTCAATCGAAAATATTAAACCGGGTTAATTGGTTTTTAAAGAGTTTGTCCACTTAAAAGTACAAAAATCTGCTCCAAACACAAAACTGACCCTGGGATTAGCTAGATTAAGGACCACAGTGGATTAGTGCAGTGGTGCACATTTAACCAAAGTTAGTACAATGTCAGCAGTTGGTTTTGTATTAGAAACATGTTACAGAATTTATAAAACACTATCAAAGCAAAACACGTTCAAGTATCTAGCAGAAGTATTAATTTTACAATATTTTGCTGGATATGATAAACAAGCACTATACAGACAGATTGTTACGCAAGTGTTTAACTGATGTTTAACCTTTAATGACATGTGCTTAATGGTATGTCATGTATCATTGGGTACTTTTAAGTAGGTATACTGAATATACTCCGTATACCCACGTATCACGTAATGGATTAGTG